ATCTCCACTGAAACAAGCTTATCACCCTCTATATCGAAACAACCAGCAATCTCCAAATTCGCAGCCTCCTGTCTGATTCGTTGTTTCCTCTTTCTCCTAGTCTTTGTGACCAGACCATAGGTTGTCCTGCCTCACGCTCTATGCAAGTTCACCCTCATGCTCTACACTCGTCTTGCTTCTCAAGCATCAACCGCGGCCTTCCGCACTCACCCTCGCACCACACGTGCGAACCTCATGTGTTTGCCTACAACGCTCCCAGCATGTCTGCCCGCGCCACACACAGCCTTCTGCTCGTGCGCCCCGTACATCCTTACCCACGTACACCTTTACCTGCATGAGCCCGCACCTTGTGAACTTTTTTGTAAAACCCCTTAGTGAGCGAACATAACCCCCGCTGATAAGATTCTCCACTTCGGTTTTGCAGATGACCCACGATCAAGCCTTGTCCTCCAGTACGCCTAGAATATTGCGAAGCACATCCAGCTCTGTCTGGTCTCCACTAGAGACCTCCCTACCGCCTCCTCTCTTATGATTCATTTTCTTATACAAGAAAACTTCTTTCACGTCCACACCACCTAGTTTTGATACCATTTGTCAGGATCTTGAATGAGGAAGAAGCTCTTTCTATTGAGCTTGATGGAAAAGTGGGATAGAGAAAGAGAGAGAGAGGGAAGAGGAAGAGGAGAGGGAGAGAATAGAAATCAGAATTCTTTATTGCTTAACCATGCTTCTATTACAACCTATTATTCTTATTTATAGATAATACTGATTGTACCAATGGCAATACAAGGCATACAAGAAAACTAAAGAAAGTACAAAGAACTCTAACTAAAATTAGGATCAATTCATAACAGTTTCATATAAACAATCTTTTCCAAATCACCATGAAGCAAAGTCATTCTTACATTCATTTGTTCAACTTCGAGATCAAACCTTGCAATAATGGACAAAACAACTCTAATAGAGTTTTGTTTTATTACTGAAGAAAATATTTCATTATAATCTAGACCAGCTTCTTGAGTAAAGCACTTTGCAACAAGTCTCGCTTTGTGTTTTGAATTTCCCTAGCCTTTGCCCTATCAGTAATGGAAGCAAAAGCTTCTCGAGCAATCTCCTCGAAAGTTCCTTGATGAACAAGAAGATCCTTCGTTTTGATTCTCCATAAGCTGAAATTGTTCTCACCAGTAAATCTGTTGATTTCAAACCTTTGCATCGAGATGATCTTGAGGAAAAAATGCAAGCTCTAATACCAATTGTGGAAATTGAAACCAAACATAGAACCCAGTTCTGTTATGTATATAGCAAAGAAATAAGAACACAGAGAAAGAGAGGGCTTTTCCAGCTATCAATTGATGCCAAGATGTTATTGCTTTATTCAAGATGAATGAATACAAGAAAAGAAAACAAGAAAGGAAAAGAAGAGAAGCATAAGTCAAACTATTCTTCAACCTAGGTGTTATCCACCCCCTTTATAGAAATGAAAAAGATGTATTTATAACTTTATTACAAGAAATAAAACTACCCAGGATAAGATAAAACAAAGAAACAAAATAATTAAAATTGGACCATCTATTGACAATATAAGTAGAGATCATAAGGTTCGATATGATCATCCCCTCAATTGGATAAGACTGGATTATAAAATTTAGAATACTAATTTGATCTCTTGGGATTGTAGATGAAAAAGTTAGAGAAGTAGTGATACTGTGAGTTAGACAATGTTAGTTTGAGGTTGATGATAAGATGATGATGGTTGATTATGCCATTTAGATGATAGTAGTAGGGCAATAGTTGATAACTTAGGATGGTTGAGAAAGATTATTAAGCAATGACAAATATATGACATTGGATAGACAACATTAATTGGACAATGGTAGATGACCTAGGATTGTCGGGAAAGGCGATTAGGCAACAATGAATAGATGACTGTGGATGAACAAGATTAGTTGGACAATGGTGGATCAATAACAATAATGGGGTGATGAGGGTTGCATGATGATGATCAAGCAATGGTTCTTAGACGATTGTGGCTATTCTCTGTGGTTATTAGTGTCGAACATTAAATAAAGTTTTAGAGTTCCTTAGTCCCCCTTAGTGCTCACTAAATTGTAATCCAAGTCCTCTTCATGTGGAGATGATACCTATTTATGAACATTTAGAGTAATGTTTTGGTAAATTTAGGAAACTTAAAAAAAAAAAAACTCATTCAAACAATCCTCATTAATTCCTTTAATTACATGTCATTGTTTTAGTATTTAAATCTTGATTACTTCATAATTTAGTGATCTTGAGCTCGTTGATGAAAGTTCGTTCGGGATGTTAAGCCCTATGAACTTAGTCCCAAGCTAACCAAGAGAGGGGGGGGGGTGAATTGGTATTTAAAAAATTCTTAAGACAAAGAAAAAAAAATCACAAACCAAATCACACCACAAAAATAAATGCGGAATTTAAAAGTGCGAAAGCAAGAAAAAGAACACAGAAATTTATAGTGGTTCGGTCGACTCGACCTACGTCCATGTTTGTCAATCATCAAAACATAAGCCATGAAAAAAATAGATTTGCAACAGTTGAGCTCTTCTTAAGACATTTTATTTTGATTAGAACTATAAAAGTATTGGGGATCATTTGGTCCATTACTAATAGTTAAAAAAATTCCAGTAATGTTTCAAATATTTAATTTAGGCTCATTTGGATTATGATTACAAATATTTGTAATTGAGCTCGTCTCATCGAGATGTACAATTTAACCATAAGCTTATTGAGATTAGAATTTGAATGGTCCTAAATTTATTCATAGAATTTTTTAATTCAAATATTGAATCAAGATTTATGTTTGATAGTGGATTATATATACATATATATACCATATGAGCTTACAATTTATTGGATTTATTTTGATTTTGATATTTTATATATGGAGAGTTTGTATTACACTAATCTCAATGTAAATCTAATGATTTTTAAATCTATCATAATATGAATTGTAGCAGGATATCCTCACATAATTTCAATACCTCCTTGGAGGATCAAGGGAAATACAAAATTGAGAGAAGGAAAATGAACACAAAGAAGAATACAAGTGTAGTGAGGGAGAATATTCATATCATTTTTTTGGATATCCAAATAGACTCTAGATGGAGATACACAAATAGATAGAAGGCTTACTCTAACAAACCATTAACATAAACCACTCTAACATTAGACCTATTGATCCTAATATAACCATTCCATCATAAATACTAACTCATATAACCCTTTATATTAATTACATATTAACCAATGATTACTCCTAAATATTTGATTTTTTTTTTGTTAGTGATTAGTTCATTATTATTTGATTTATTTATGAACTTAAATGATCATAAGAAAATATATATAAATAATAGAGAATTCTTTTTTTTTTTTGGATAAAATTCACGGCGGGGCCTACGCATTAATAAGAATAAAAATTACAAGTCCTTAAAAGATCATAAACTCCCTAAAATAACCAACTATTACTCCTTGATATTTGGTATTTTTTATTAGTGATTAGTTCATTATTATTTGATTTATTTATGAACTTAAATGATCATAAGAAAATATATATAAATAATATGAAATTCTTTTTTTGTTTGGATAAAATCCATGGCAGGCCTACGCGTTAATAAGAATAAAAATTACAAGTCCTTAAAAGATCATAAGCTCCCTAAAAGAACATCATTTGAATTATTAAGATTTATTATAATAAAACATTTTGTGAAGAGATCCTAAGTCATTTATTTAAGAAAAAATAAATTAAATTAGGATATCCCAACCTAATTTTTATCAAATGTCTTTAAAAAAAGTTGACACATATCAATTTTTATAGCATGTATTCTACTAATTATAAATAAATCTTTTAATATTTTATTCTTTAAAATTAATGAATTTGTTGTTTTTTTAGTTTTAATAAATTAAAATCACATAATTTCATTTCACGCTATTTGAATATATATCAATCAAACTTAAAAAAAATTATTTAAAAAAACTAACAATTAAAAGAAATGAAATCCTTAAAAAGTTCCGATGTGAACCATAAAACTTCATTCAAACTTCAATCTAAGAGCTAAAAAGAAATCATTTAAACAAGTTTAATAGTTTTAATCAAATTATGGTCTAAATCCAACAAATTACTTTAAAATAATTCTAATTAATTATTCATATATTGCACTCATCTCAAAATAATTAAATTCAATAACTTCAAGAATTCACATCATTATCTTGAATTTGGATTAAGATTAATGTAACCCTTATATATCACCTCTAGCACTAATCTCTATATAAATTTAAAAACAATGAGGCTCACCCTCACTAGGGGTGCCAAAAATTAGGGTTAGGATCGATTGACCTGTTTAATAAACAAGCCATCTTCGTGTCTGAAATTCGACATGTTTAATTGGTGGATTGAGTTTAGGTTGACCCAAAAACCCTTTTTTGACCTGAAAGTGACATTTTTATTTTATTTTTCTAAATTCCTTAGCTTATCCGTATACTCTTCTTATTTTTTATCAAAAAATCAAAGTTATATAAGTAATAAGTTATAATTTTTTTTAACAAAATGAGTTAATGGATCAGATTTGATTTTTCCCGTTTGTCAACAGGTCAGATTTGGATCCACCTATTCTACCCATTAACCTATCTTGATACCCCTAATCCTACCATGAATTTTAGACATTATTATTTTCGTTAGAATTAAATTAAAAAAATCCTAAAAATTCATTATTATATGATTTTTAAATTATAATATTCCACATTTGATTGAAAAACAGTTATACAAAATAACAAACATCCGCATCTCCCTCTCCTCCCTCCCTCCCACAACGACCGTTTCCTCCCCTCTCTGTCAAATCCTCCTCCTTCCCTTCCAGCGCACAATAGGAGGTACAGAAATCCGTAACAATAACAAAAAAGGAAAAAACCACCACAAGAGAATACCTCGCTTCATCGTCAATCCCCCCTGAGCCGCCGCAGTCGGATCCGCCATGAGCTCCCTCATCTCCCACCCAAAAGCCAACCACATCTCCGCCCATTCCTCCCCTTCCTCCGCCTCTTCAGCCTGCGCCGCTTGCAAATACCAGCGCAGGCGCTGCACTCCCGACTGCACCCTCGCCCCTCATTTTCCGGCCAACAACCCCCGGCAGTTTCTCAACGTCCACCGCCTCTTCGGCGTCTCCAACATTTTAAAAATCCTCAAGACCGTTGAGCCCCACCTGCACAAAGAAGCCATGGCCTCCATTATCTTCCAGGCCAACGCGCGCGCCCGCGACCCCGTCGGCGGTTGCTACCGCATTATTCTTCAGCTTCAGCACCAGCATGAGGCTCTCTCTTCCGAGCTTCAGTGTGTTCTTAACCAGATCGCTATCTATCGCACTCAGGTAATATATCTTTCGCAAAATGTTTCTCTCCATCCATTTAATTTGCTTTCAGATCAGACAAAAATAATTTTTTATATTTTTTTAACAATATTAATTTTGAAATAAATATTTATTAGAATAATGATGATCATTTTGTTAAGGAACTTAAAGATTTTGATCTTCAATTAATGAGATTTTATCTGTCTGATCTGTCTGCACAAAGGTAAATTAGTCATAATTTTGAGTCAATCCTTGGCTTGGGCTTGAGCTTGATTAATTAATCAAATTCAAGCTTCAGCTCAAGCTAGAGCTTTATATTATGAGTTCAAGCCGGCTCGTTTATACAAATATTTCTTACAAGAGCCAACTCTTGAGCTAATAAGTTAAGTCAAAGTTATCTCAAACTCATCGAGCTAGTATCATGAGCCATTTTTCAAACTGATCAACTCTGAACTCACTTGACTGACTTACACCCCTAATCATGCTCTTCTCATTTACTCCAGATTGAAAAAGCAGCCAGCATGATCGGTTCTGATGAGGCCATCTACACGCCACCAGACGCCATCATCGACATCTACGAAAACATGGCTATCATGCAGCAGCAACAGGCACAACAACAACAACAACAACAACAATACGGCAACTATTTCTTCTGCGGTGCGCAAGAGCCTTATCAAAACATTAATTCTAATGAAAACACCAATAATATGCTGGCCAATGAAGCTGAATTTGATTTGAGCATGAATTTGCTTGGGAATGATATGTTGGAGATGGACATGATTGGTTCCAGACTGAATTTTGGGCAAGAGGAGGATGTTAAGCCTCTTGATGATACATTTGGCATGCGAAATACATTTGTAAAAAATGAGGACTCTTTGGATGTCACTGCTGGTTCATCCATCACAGCCGTTCAATGCAGGTTTGCCTCTTATTTTAATTTCATTAATTACTTTTCTAATTTGTTTAAGCTCACTGTTTTCTAAAATAATTTTCCAGCCCAAAAAATTTTATACTAAAAAGTTGTTTTAGAAACAATAAAGAATTATTCCAATAGTTTTTTTATGCTTTTTAGTTAAAAAATTATAATTCAATAATTTTTTTTACCAAAAAACTACTTTAAAATCAGCAAGAAAATTGTCCCATATGAAACTATAATTTGTAAATTATTAATTTATTATTTTTATATAGAATTATAAGATAAATGTTTAAAGTCATAATTAAATATTGCTTTTATTTTTATTCAAATTCTTTTTATTTTGAACATTTAATTTTTTTTACTTTTAAGCGGTTATATTTTATGTACTGAAGGAATTTGTATTAGAATTTTATTTATTTATTTGTTATTTATAGTGGTTGACTTAAATTTATTGTGAGAGGACTATCAATGCATGAAAATTTTTTATGTCGAGAGCAAATACTTTATGAGAAAAAAGATAGTGGAGTTTTATAAGCAAAGATTTATGTCATTATTAAAAATATATCCTTATTGGTGTGATAAGCAAATTTCTCCTGAGTTCTTTATATTTTAAGATATTAATATGATTCTCTAACTTTGATTACAACATGATCAAGCATGCATTATATTAATAATGAATGATTACTGGTTATTATGGCTAGAGCCTGCTATTCTAATTTTGTCGATGATCTTGCTAGTTTTGTTGCTTCTTCTCTCCCCATGATGCTAAAATTTTACTTAGATAGACTTAGAAGATTGTAGTAATTTTTTGATCATGTAGTTTCCGACCTAATTTGTATCAGAGTGCATTTGAATTGACTGTCTGTCTTGTTAAATGGAGAGGAAGTGGTTCATTATTCCTTTGATGTACCAATAATGGAGGAATTTGAGAAGTTGATGATCAATCTTTGAGGTTAAAATGCATAGATAGGCAAGCTCATATGGTTTTTAATATTGTGAGATATTAAAGTGATCCAACAAGATGCTCGTATAGTTATCGATTGAGATGAGGATGAAATGGTTCATCTACTACTAGGAATTTGGGTGGGCTGGGATTCGAAATTGGTTTGCAATCACTAATGTTCAACTGATAGAGGAATTCTTGGATGTGTCTAGATCAGTTTAAGTGAAGACTATTGGCTATGTGTGAGGTGTATGATAACTTGGGAACATGGAATATTTCATATTAGAGAAGCTTATTTTTGTACTTGAAAGGATACCTTGCTCAAAATGGTCTATTGAAAGTTATTAATTATTGTTGATGATCACTTATTAAGGCCCATTTTAAGGTTAAGAAATGTATAATTGGGAAGGGTTTGTAGTAAGGTGGGAAAAAGCTATGAATCCCATGCATAATTCCACTAAAGTTTGATGAAGGATAGTAAATATAAGATGGTTGATGGGTTGATATGATAGGTGGTTTGATGCTACAATTTTGAATATCGATTATCCTTTCTTTCGCATATCTGATATATAAGATTTGAATGGGATGATTGTCCTCCTATAGCCAACTATTGGGTCATGTGAACTTATTTGGAGAATAATTATCATCCTCTATTTGCATTGGTGGGGAAGGATCTCTCCCATCCTCGTACCCTAGAGGATTGGATGTATATGTGTTTGTTAGCTCTCTAGCTATTTCACATGCAAGATTAAGCTCCTCTTTGGGGAGGATTGAGTAGAGATCATCTAGGTTTAGTGGTTGGAGGGCAACGTGAAAGTTATCTTGAAGGCTTGGTAGGATAATGGAAGGCCATTATGAATATAGAAGATGACATTCTTTGTATCAAGAGAAGGGTTGGTAGCAATTATTTTGTCTCCTTGGCCTTGATATTAGAAAGGGACTGAGTTATTATACATTTTTTTCATTAAGATATGGTGTAGTTCATTTTTTAGATAGAGAATATGCAAATAGCTATTGGATTAAAGCCTTTCTTTTTATTGTAATCTTTCCTAAGTAGGTTTCTAGGGTAATAATAAGGAATAAGAGATAATAGAGTAGAGAACATCAGTGATATTTTGATCAACGAGCATCCTTGTGTGATAGAGGGGGTTAGGGGAGATGCCTCCATCATCATTAAGAAGATATTAGGGTGTTTTCGGATGTACGTGTTCCATCTAGATAGAAATCAAATATGTTGGCCTTGAATAGTTTAAGGACTTGCAATCTCAAATTGGGTTTATTATCAATCGTGAACTGGGTGTTTAGGTCCATTTTGATGTTTGTTATGAAGAATTTGAGTAGTGGTGGGATGGTGGTGTTGCCCATTTTGAGGAGGGCTTAGTTGTTTCCAATTGGTAGGTGGATGAAGGATGCATAAGGATTTATTAGTTGTCATGAGGCTTGATGCTTGAATACCATGAAGTATCAAGTAAGAGAACTTATAACTACTAGAAGATATATAATAAGAAGTGTATTATAGAACAAATACGAGTAATGTAGTGTATCATATAATAAATTAAGAGAAGAGAGGTAGAAGACGTATGATAGAGTAAATGCTAGAGTATTAAATATTTTGATTATATTCATGCAAGGGAAAAATGATATTATATTTATATAGTGGGTAGTTCTTAATTTCTTCCCTAGGATTAGAGCAATTATAATTCAATGGATGTGATTAGGTGAGCTATTATGATCTAATGGTAGCTTTTGTAGAGGTGGAGAAGACGTGGTTGAATCACTTGGTGTTGACATAGAGGTGGAAAAAAATTGTAGAGCGGATGAGTTAACAATGAATGTTCAACAAAGTGTGCCATTATGAGATTTTTCATCTTTTGAGCCTTGCTCGATTATGGTAGAAGTTAGCTAAGATTCTTGAGAGTTACAAACCATATGAACCACCTTATCTAAGTCGAATTTTTAGGTTTAATGCCACTTGTTAGGTTATGGACAAAAGGGAGATCAAAGATGGGTCGTATACATCAATGGTTATGGCTAATAACAAGTCGTGGTTGTGTGAGCTTTGCTCTACTTAAACATATTTTTTTAGTTCAAACCTACTTGAACTTTACTTGAAATCAAATATTCAATTTTTACTAGGGCAAGCTAGTCTCAAAATTACTTGATTTAGATCCAGCTTGAAATTGATTTTAAGTTGACTTGAAGTTGTAAGAAATAAGATGTTAGAAGAAGAAACTGAACCTAAAACATCTTGCATGAGCTAAAAAACACCAACCAATTGGACCTACAATTACATTTCATTATTTTTTATATTTAATATATAAATATAATATATAATAATTTCAAGTTGAATATATTAAATATCAAATGATCCAAACTCCTATTGAAAATCTTGCTAAAGTTATATGGAGACAACCTAATTCATTATGAATTTTTAATAGTTCTAACTTTAACTTCATGCAAGCCTATTACTTGTTGATTCTCTCCCTCCATTTCATCCAACTTCATCATCTTTTTGTTTCACATCTTCTTAAAAATTAACTGACTTTGAAGTCTATATTAAAGAACTTATATGCAAATTCATCTAGTTTCTAACTTTTTTGTTTAATTGTGCATTATGATGTTATTTCCATGTTGCAAAGATTACTAAATCTTTTATTTTGCAGCTCCAATACTGAACAGAAAGATGATCAGAGCCCCGTAGAACAACTGCAGGAACATGAGCTGAAGTGTGCTGCTTCATACTTCACATTACAAAATTGCAATATCTCAGTTGTATAATTTTTAGTGATTTTTTTTGCAATAATGATAGCCTTTTCCTTGATTCTGATGAACTGAATTGAACTTTGCTGTCATCTTTTCTAGCAAAAGTTTCTCTTTTATCTTTCTGCTTTTGATGTTTATGATCTCTAAGTTAGAGTTTCAGGTTGTAGTCATGAATGGAGTGACAAAACAAAATAATTTGAATTTTGTTTGTTATCACCTGAACATAATGTACTTGAATCTTTGATTTGGTTTATTTGTACTGCTCCATTCTTGAAGAAATAGTTATTTGGCCAAAATCTTCATGGAAATAATGTAAATTGGTTGTTTGATAGAAGTTTTCATAAATTTTAAGGTCATATACACATTACATCATATAGAAAATCTCATGAAAAATTTATCACACAAAGTCTTATGAAATCTCTATAGAATTTTCTGCTTAATCTATCTCTTTGTTCATTTCAGCTTGTTGTTCTTTATTAGAGGTTTAATTAGATCTTTTGTAGATCAATTCGTCAAGAGAGTATTGGGGTTGTTGTAATGCCTATAAAAGTAGCTATATAAGTAGGAAAAATAGATTTTTTTATAGCTTTCTATGATATTTTAAGCTTTTTTTTTTCTTTCAGAAAAAATCAGACAAACTATTTTACAACTACTGCATACTAACAAATCTAGTTATAAAAAATATATCTTATTAAAAATTTTCTGATTAGTAATAAGAAAATTATAGCTAAATAAAAGTGCGGAAGTTGTTCTATAAAAATATGGCTTCACATCAAACCTTAACATCTCTCCCTAATACATTTTGCTTTTAAGTATTTTTTTCATATCTCTAGTAATTAAGACAAGGCATCATCTTCTTACGGTAACGGTAGATCCTTAGATTAGGATAAAAAGATAGAAGAGTTGTGTGGTATTGTTACATGCTAGAAATTTTGAGTCAGTAGAATATACGTTTTACGTCTCAACGTTATATAAAAATTCAGCAATCTCAAATAAAAGTAGTAAAATCAAAAAATATTTTATGTGAAAAACACGGTATGGGAAAAAGCCATAGGGCATGACCCAGATGAAAAATTTACTATATAACATATGATACAATAATTATTCCTTCCTTATAGTTGAAAGAAAAGGGGCTATTTGAAAATAAAATGTCTGATTTCACTTTTGCATGATTGCAAAAGCATAGTGTTCAAAAGTGGACAACTTAAATGCAACAACAGAGTTAAATCTTGATAGGAGCCTGGAGATGATGACAATTACTTAAAGGTGTTTGTTAGTGGCTATGTTGATTGCAATGAAAATAGATGGTGATGGTTGTTAACGGGGATAGCTGGAAAATGCTAGACAGCTCACTAGTTCCCCGCCCCCATAAAATAAATAACACTCCATTTTATGATCCATATTGATTTCTTTATACATTAAATATTTATTCAGCATTTAAGTGGCTTAATGATGTTGGAGTTTGAGTGAGTTTGGGCTCATTAGATTTATCTTGCTACGACTTAGTTCGACGATAAGCATTTCAAATTTGGAGGTCATTTGGCCTTCCAATTAATGTCTAAAGTTTCTAAATATACTTTAAGTATTTGATTTGAACTCATTTAGGCTCATGTTGCACAAATGTTTTGTGTCCTTAGGTTCGCCTCATTGATATGTTTAGTTCAACTATAAATTTGCTAAAATTAGAGTTCAAATGATCCTAAAAATATAATGTATACTAGTGAATTTCTATGTTTAGATTGGCGTATCAATAAACACCATCTTATTCAAATACACAGTTAGGAATTTATATTCACCACGATTGCAATCACATGTGGGATTGATTCGACGTAAATATTCAAAGTAACCTAAAAAAAGTTTAGTTCCTAAACATTAGATCATAAGGGACCCATGGGTGAATTTAGAATTTGTTTTATAATAGGATTACTATAATAAAATTGAGCTTAAATTTTTGGATTCAAAATTGACAATAAATCACACCCAACTTCATTGAGAATACTAAATGAATGAGAATGAAAAAATAGAGAAGGAAAGTTCCATATGAAGATCTTAGATTTATGTAAAATAGGCTTTTACTTATAGAAAAATTACGTGAATTGAACTCATCCATTGAGCCCTATTTATTTATTTGAGTTGAGGCTTGTGTGTTACATAATTGATTAAATAGATGGCTATACAGAAAGCATGAGAAATGTACAAGAGTTTTATTGTTTAATTAGAATGTTCGATTTAATGAAGTCAACCACAAAGCTCTCCTATGAAGCCACCAGCTTAGTGTGAATTGGTGGAGGAATTGTCAAATAGTCAATTAATAACTTTCATGAAGTCCCCCACTTGAATAGTCATTAGGGTCCACTTCATAAGTTGCACTCGCTAGGGACGACTGATTGCTCGCACTTGCTTGCTTGTGATGATTTCTTAGTTCATAGTTGCCTATTTGAGGTTAGTTCAGTTGTAGGCAGGTGAGTCCTTTTGAGCTGAGAACGAATTGTCTGAGTTATCTTGGTTTGAATCAGATCGACTTAACTTTAGCCCAAAGTTTCGGATATATGACTATGCATAATTATCTTACGCCCTCTTTAAGGTTTCTCTAGTTGCAAGTCCTTGGAACATCAATGATGAAATTAAAATTAATTAAATACACAATTATATAACACCCACAACTCAAAGTAGGAGGTGAACTGTAGCTCATTTCTTTTTTTCATTTTGCTTTTCTTAATTTTCTCCAAATATGAAGTTTTTATAGAACTCCACTATCAAGAATAACATATTAACTATCTTGCACCAACCATTAACCAATGAATCTTTTATTTAATTATTTTAAAATAATTATAAATTAATTAGTATATATTAATTAAATTAAAATAAAAAATCATATATTTATGCAAAAGACATTAGTTGATTTGAAATAGGAAACATGGTCATGGATAAATAATAGTGTCATTTAGTAAAGCCTAAGCAAAGTTTGAGAGGAATTGAAATAAATTTACTTAGTTTTAGTTCAAGAGAATTGAAGGTTGGTCATTTGAGGCATTTGGGCAAACATGAGTTGAACATACTTAAGGGGTTTGACCATAGGCCATGCATGAGTCTAAGTAGTCTTGGGATGGCTTACAACTACTTAGATTCAATGCCAAGGACATTGGAGTTGAATTGATTGGTTTACTTTAGTTTTAGAGTTTTTATGAAAAAAGGTGTGGTTTTTGTTAACCCTACTTTGACCATGGGTCAAATGGCTTGACTTGGGCTCCTTGACCCATGGGTTGGGACCAAGAGTAAGTCAAGGGTTTAAATGGTAGATCCTAGGGTCATGGGCCACATAATGTATGTCCTAGAGAAGGCGCCATAAGGATTAGAGCAAATTGGTCCTCTTAGGATTTTTTAGGATTTTGGGTTTGATTTAGGAGTGGCCTAGTAGGTTAACATTCCATCTAGGGGTCACAAAAATGGTCCTATGGTCCTGAGTGGCTTTTAAGCAAGTTCAGGATTAATTGAACTTTTGGATTAATTGAAAAGGTTCATAAAGAATTCACAAAGGTCTAAGATAGACTTCTAAGGGTTCTAGACATGTACTTAAGCCAAGCTAGGGTTGATTTAATCTATGGATCTCAAGTGTCCAAAATAAGATATAAGGTACCGTAGGACTTCTTATTTTCTATGACTAGCCAATGCTAAGTCATCAAAAATCCACCTATAAGAGTGTCTATCTCTTTTCCAGGATTGTGATAGGTGATCATCTTTCTACCAAATGGTCGATAATGACATAAATGATAATGATAACATATACACATTACACCAAACAGAAGAAACATGAGAATAATTCACTGCTCTGCATCTCTATGGTCGAGGCCACTCTGCTTACTTTCGAGGTTATGGATGATCTTCACTAGTGGCTACCTCATTTTATTCATGTCGGCCCGAATTTAATGGTGACTATCAAATATGTGGCAAAAGAGGTCATTCTACATTCTCATGTTGGCACCAAACCAACATTCAATACTCCCCTACCTTCCCAAATGCAAATGTTGCATTTGTTGTAGACTCTACCTCTTCCCCATGGTATCTTGATAGCGGTGCTACAACTCGCCTCACTCCAGATGCTCAAGCTCTCCATCAAACATCTATGTACTCTAGTTTTGACCAAGTTCTAGTTGGCAATGGCACATCACTTCCCATCCTCCTCTCCGACAAAGGCTTCCTTCCCAAACCCTCTCGTAATCATTCTCTTAATTCCCTTCTTTACGTGCCACATCTTACACATAATATTATATCCATCTCTAAATTGATTGAAGATAATAATTGCTCCGTTTCATTTAACAAGATTGGTTTTCTCGTCAAGGACTTGAAAATCAATCGAATAATTCTCCAAGGTCCGCCATAATGGACTCTACTATATACCCTTCCAATCATCATAAACTCCTCTCACTATGGCAACTACATACGTCACATCCACCTCCTCCTTTGAATTGTGGCACTAACGTCTAGGTCATCCCAACTCCTCCACACTTGCAGCTATTTTCAAAAGTCAACCTAGTGATGACCTCATTTTTGTATTAGGTCATCATGACTTTTCCTAGACTCCAAATCAACCCAGACCTTAGAATCTACCTAGACCACATACCCTAGGACTTTTTAGACTCTAGAGTTCTCTTAGATTTTAAATCCTAAGATTCTTCTAGACTCCAGACCCTAGGATTAATTCAGATCTTAGATCACTCCAGACTCCAGGTTAGTCCAGATGGGATCAAGTATGATCTTTGATCAACCAATATCACGGATCAATCTAGAATCCTGGCCAATCCAGATTCAAATCAAACTCTGACTTCAAAATTGTCCAGATTTCAATTCTATTCAAACCTCAAACCAACCCTGACTTCAAACCCACTCAAACTTCAAACCTATCTAGACTCCCATGCAATTCAATCTCTACCTCAAACTCCAATTAATCCATCCAAAATACATATCTATGGCATTTTTCGTAGTCTGGCTAAAGGCGTATGAAATATCGGCCGTTG